AAGTGCCCATTTTTTCATTTGTTTATAACTATCGCATTTATTGTTAAAATTTTATAAAACCTATGACAAGTTGAGGGTTTTGTCATACTTTAAAAGTGTGCCAAAAGTGGGCGCTGTAGGTGCAATAGTTTTCGCACAATTCTATTTGTTTATAGCGGAGGCTCCAAAAGTTATGAACTTTAAGCCTCTGTACAGGCGTTAATTTTCAACCAAACATGATTGTGAAAGCGTCATTGTAATCTTAAAGACGCAATTAAGCGACCTATTAAAAAATATCACCGTTTTTTTGACATTAACATTCTCAAATTGTGCATTAAAAAACCGTGCGTTTTTCGCTTATAAACAATTTGAATAACATTGTTGCTATTTATGCTATCTCACCGAAAATAGGTGCAATGGATAGATGGCAAAAAAATACAGTTTTAAAATAAAAAAGTACCCTCTGCGACCAACAGGAGCCAAGATAAGAATTTTTTTTTTAAATCGTAGCGCAATTGTTGTTTATAAATATTATGACTTGAATTTTTCGCAAAATAAAGTTTACGACGTAAACTACGATTTCCTGATATTTACTTGTTTTCAAGATATGTCGACGTCAATATGCAATATGATGTAATAAATAATAATAAAAATCACACCGAGACAATAAAAATTATTTTAAAATATTGTTATAATGATGTGGTGTGAATAAATCACACCACATACTAACTAACAAATAAATTATAAAAAAAACAAATGATCAACTACAGGAAAAAAATGTACAACGGTAAATCTTATAATTAGTATAGTTAAATTGAAAGGTATACCCAAGCTGATAAAACTGTAATTATTGGAACACTAATATGTGTCATCTGTCATACATATTTTATTTTAAATAAAGGACATGAGCCACCTATGACTGCATTTTTTTTAATAACATTTGATAAAGTACGGTTCGTCTCTGCCCCTTATAAGATTTACCATTGTAAATTTTTTTTTCTGTAGTCGATCATTCGTTTTTTTTTTATAATTTACTGTTTGTTAGTTAGTATTGGTGTGAATAAAGCCATTATAACCATATTTTAAAAGAATGTTTTGTCTCGGTGTGATTGAAAAACTGTATATTACAAATATTGCTCAAAAAATGATATTTCAGATGGACTGCATTTCCACGTTCTAGGGATCAAAACATTTTTTAGTATCGCCACCGCATCTATACAGAAAGATTTGAACTAACAATTCTAACTGCAATTTGAAGCTATTCGAGGGACCTAACAACCCCAGTTTCAGAAACTAAAATAAATTCCTTCATTTCGGAGATATTGGCAGCGAGAGTGTTAAATGCCACAAAATAGTTTATTGATTGACATTATGATGACCAGCTCTTGCTAAAACCATTTTAATTTCTCAAGAGACAAATTATCTAAAATTTCTTCAAAATCATTTCGTAGAAAGTTAAAATATGACTCACCAGTTAAATGTTATGCAACAAAGTACCTACCTACCTAGAAAATGGTCGTGGACAAGGTCATACCAAACATTTAAAGAAAACCGAATTTGTGGCCTTACTTCCTCTGTTAAACATGGCTTTTCAAAAGCGTAAAAGTTATCGTTTTTCTGTTAAACATTCCACTATTCGTAAATTATACATATCTTAACAGGAAAATCTATCCTCAATTCATTCACAAAATTTCAGTCTTCGTCGGTTGTTTTCAGAATTTAATACTGGTATAAATTTAAAATCATGATATTTACCTGTACTTATAAACCACGGAGACTAGACAAGGAGATCGAACTCATACTGGAAAATTGACAAAATTTGTCAGTCCACTAGCGTTGTTAACTTTCCTTTTGCACCGAAGCGAATGTAGTATGATAAAAACGAGTGAAGTAAGCAAACAATCAATTTTATTTTAAAGAGAATAGAAATATACTATCTTAGAAATCGAAATAAATATTGTAATTTGTTTTTAAGAATTTATTACATAAATCTCGGTCTCCCCTCCACTATTTCGATGCATATAGAACACTAACACACCCTAATTTGGTAACATGTAGCCAGATTGAAATCTATTGGTTTATAAAACGCCTAGACGTTTTTATAAAGGAAGATTGTCAAATTTTTAAAACCATTATCCATTTAACATTCTGACTGAAACATTTCATTCGTTTTGTAAAATATATAAATTATTTTGGTTGTTTAGTAAAACGAAATAATACTTTTACAACAGGTTTACATGATATTTTTAACGATTATACAGATTCCCAAAAAAAGAAAACTGGTCTGTTCCAATGACTAAACCTATTTACCTTATGAATTTCGAAGCACTGAATCCGAATCCGGAACCAGAATTGCTCCATTATCTTCTATTTTCTTTAAATGGAAGGTTATGGAACAATTCTGGCCCCGGATTCGGATTGAGCTCGTCAAAATACATAATGATACATGAGTCTAGTCTCTGGACAGACCAGTTTTCTTTTTTTTGTGGGTCTGTGTTATTAACAGTTTTAATGTACAATTTTCTATTATACCTATTTATTCATGAACTTTAATATAAAATAAAAATATAGGTACTACTACTTCTAAAAAACACAAAGTAGGTAGTTTTTAAAACAAAGGAAAGTAAAATATTCTTGTTAACCATATACATGTATTTTGTAAGTATAGTATGCTCTGAACCAGTGGCGGCCCGTGGGTTTGAATACAGGGAGGGCGCATTTTGAAAAGAGGGCGTACATCATAAGAGCTGTGGGGGGTGTGGGGGGCGGCAGCCTCCTGCTTAGCGTCGCAGGCGAAAAATTTTAAGGAATTTGAAGGTCATTGTGTTTTGCAAGTACCCCAAAATGAATACTGTCAGTGTGTACAGTAGCTACTTAGATACAATGCGAGAAATAAAATTCCAACGTGTGGGGGCTGAAGTGGATAATAAACGATCAACCAACCCAGTTAGGATGTAATTATGTAGATTACTGTAATAGTTCATTCTGTATAATTTTTGAAGTTCCTTTAAAAGCATGGGCATCACTAAGATGTTTATCTATAACGGGATCAATTTTTGCAATATAGTCTATCAGTTCTAAAAATACCCCTTTGTTTACCGAGTCACTTTTTTATTATGTCCACGAAGAGAAAGGTTACATGTACCACATAGTTTTAAGATATTTAAAATATTTGAAAGAAGCAATCAATTTTTCATAACTGTTTCGTTGTGACTATTTACTATTTATTTGTTCTGCATAAGCACTATTTAAACAAGAAGCAATATTTACTCTTCCTAAAAGTAAAAAACTCACCAACTTATTTTTGTGTTTAGGAGAATTTTCATGTTTCTTAATTTTAATTTCTAAATGTTTCAAGTCAGAAACTCCAGTTTTCGTCCAGTTTTCTTCGCCTCCTCCAAACAATAAACATACAAAACAAAAAAATCTATTTGTTTGGTCACAACCACACAACCACAGGGTCTTATCATAAATGTTTTTATCAAATTTGCGAAAGCCGGCCCACTTTTTGCACTCTTTCTGCACCTCAACTAAATTCAACACTGGCGTTGGACGTCCGTTATTTTTCAATTCGACTTTTTCCTCTAAACTTAAATTACTAATAACAAGTTTTTTTATTTCACAAACCCTCATAAAACCCTTTAAACTTAAACTTATAAAATATAATGTCTTAAAAAGCGCCAAAGCAAAAACAAAACACATATAACCACACTTCAGTGATACGGGTTACTGCCTCATGGAGTCCCAAAACAAAGCGCGCGAGCGCGCAAGCCTATCGTCGCCTATCCCCTCCACGTGCCAATTTGTCCAATCATATGTAAAAATATGCTTGCACGATGGACTCAGATTTCACGGTCCGCGATGGAGTCGGGATTGCGCGCGCGGTTAAACATAACTCTTTGGTACGATCATAGATGGCAGATGGCATTAATCTGATACATGCACTTTATGCAACCAACCTAACATCCAAGAGATATTGAATGCATGCTATTTAGATTTCTTATTGATTTAAATAAATACATTATTTTAAGTTTATAGTTTGAAAATATCTGGGG